ATGGTGTTTTAGCCCTGCGACACGGTCCTTGGACTCCAGCTTGGACGAAGCGGTGCAGAACGAAGGCCGGCTCCAGGAGGACACGAGCAGGGTGGCAGTTGGCAGTGCAGAAACGCAGGAAAAGTCAAGGTTTGGAGCTAGTTTCTAGTCGGTTTAGAAAGTGACGTTTGGCAGTCTGGGATACGGGCCGCGGGCCCAATCCGTCCTTCACTGCCATGGTGTTTTAGCCCTGCGACACGGTCCTTGGACTCCAGCTTGGACCAAAGCGGTGCAGAACGAAAGCCGGCGCCAGGAGGACACGAGCAGGTTGGCAGTTGGCAGTGCAGAAACGCAGGTAAAGTCAAGGTTTGGAGCTAGTTTCTAGTCGGTTCAGAAAGTAACGTTTGGCACTCTGGGCTACGGGCCGCAGAACGAAAGCCGGCTCCAGGAGGACACGAGCAGGGTGGCAGTTGGCAATGCAGAAACGCAGGAAAAGTCCAGGTTTGGAGCTAGTTTCTAGTCAGTTCAGAAAGTGACGTTTGGCAGTCTGGGATACGGGCCGCGGGCCCAATCCGTCCTTCACTGCCATGGTGTTTTAGCCCTGCGACACGGTCCTTGGACTCCAGCTTGGACCGAAGCGGTGCAGAACGAAAGCCGGCTCCAGGAGGACACGAGCAGGGTGGAAGTTGGCAGTGCAGAAACGCAGGAAAAGTCAAGGTTTGGAGCTAGTTTCTAGTCGGTTCAGAAAGTGACGTTTGGCAGTCTGGGATACGGGCCGCGGGCCCAATCCGTCCTTCACTGCCATGGTGTTTTAGCCCTGCGACACGGTCCTTGGACTCCAGCTTGGACCGAAGAGGTGCAGAACGAAAGCCGGCTCCAGGAGGACACGAGCAGGGTGGCAGTTGGCAGTGCAGAAACGCAGGAAAAGTCAAGGTTTGGAGCTAGTTTCTAGTCGGTTCAGAAAGTGACGTTTGGCAGTCTGGGATACGGGCCGCGGGCCCAATCCGTCCTTCACTGCCATGGTGTTTAGCCCTGCGACACGGTCCTTGGACTCCAGCTTGGACCGAAGCGGTGCAGAACGAAAGCCGGCTCCAGGAGGACACGAGCAGGGTGGCAGTTGGCAGTGCAGAAACGCAGGTAAAGTCAAGGTTTGGAGCCGCAGAACGAAAGCCGGCTCCAGGAGGACACGAGCAGGGTGGCAGTTGGCAGTGCAGAAACGCAGGAAAAGTCAAGGTTTGGAATGGTTTGGAGCTAGTTTCTAGTCGGTTCAGAAAGTGACGTTTGGCAGTCTGGGATACGGGCCGCGGGCCCAATCCGTCCTTCACTGCCATGGTGTTTTAGCCCTGCGACACGGTCCTTGGACTCCAGCTTGGACCGAAGCGGTGCAGAACGAAAGCCGGCGCCAGGAGGACACGAGCAGGGTGGCAGTTGGCAGTGCAGAAACGCAGGAAAAGTCAAGGTTTGGAGCTCTAGAACAGAAAGCCGGCTCCAGGAGGACACGAGCAGGGTGGCAGTTGGCAGTGCAGAAACGCAGGAAAAGTCAAGGTTTGGAATGGTTTGGAGCTAGTTTCTAGTCGGTTCAGAAAGTGACGTTTGGCAGTCTAGGATACGGGCCGCGGGCCCAATCCGTCCTTCACTGCCATGGTGTTTTAGCCCTGCGACACGGTCCTTGGACTCCAGCTTGGACCGAAGCTGTGCAGAACGAAAGCCGGCTCCAGGAGGACACGAGCAGGGTGGCAGTTGGCAGTGCAGTGTCGTCTCGGGTCTCTTTAGGATGCCATTTCAAGTTTCATACTGCGGTTACGAACGGGGGCTTCGGGTATGGGTCTTAAGTGCTAGAGCAACCCTTTAGGTCCCCAAGACACCTGCCCAATGACGAAAGCTCCTATTTCTTGAGCCATGAAAAAGTGTCAGAGCACATAGTTGTGCGTGTCATCCTGCAGGGGTCCATGCTGCTTGCATGTGCACAGTGCCAAACGCACATACAAATGGTTTGTTTAGGTCAGTTTCTGGTTTCTTTAGGGTTCATTTCATGCTTACGACACAGAGGCAGGCATGACCCTCCAGTGTCCAGGGGTCGGCGGCAGAGGGCGTAGCCCTTTAATAATGTTGTTAGAGTTCGTAAGGATCGGTGTCGCTTCGAAACTGATAGGCACCACGTTCCAACATTATTCTTTGATGAGTCGATTATATAGGGTCGACCAGGTGGGAATGGAGCCCAAGAAAACTCGAAAGAAAAGGTGTCTGCTGACCTCGAAGCTGTCCAAAGAAATCTTGAGCCTCTTGCGCTCTCTGGTAGCGGCTCCCGATCCCTGCACCATTTCCAAGGCGCAGCGGTGCCACTTTTGGATCTTTCTGCCTTTCTGCTTCCTTTCTTGTCGCTCGGCTACTTCGAAGAGCAAGCTGGCTCCAAACGGGCCATGTGGCTGGCGCGGAGAGAACCATCGCGTTACGCGCCGAGCCTTGACCGCCCTTGACAATCGCAGGAGATGATTGTGTCCCGTCCAGGGCGGTGAAGCCCTCTAAGTTCCATCTCAAGCCAAATTACAACGTCAACCTATCAAGTAAATAACTATTGACCCGGACATGTCTCGACCAAGTGCTATCTAGTCGAAGCTACCAAGGGGACTCAAAAATAATCCCGCAAATTTCACCTGCATTTGTTGGGGTGAATAGATTTGAGTCATAAGCCATTTCAAGCAGAACTAATGTAAATGAACCACCATCCAAAAAGTCCGGGATCCAGTTCATTTGGGGACATGATATTCAAACTCAGGACAAGTTGCTATACTCCTTAAAAACCCATTGAATTTGGGGAAATTTCCCATCATTCACCAACCTGACGTGAATGGTCATTTTATTGGCAGGTTCTCATATTTCAACCTCATTCGTTGAGGTTGCTGCAGTTTGACCATACCTTAAATACGCCATGTATGGTCAACATCTACTAACATTCCCCGCAACATGACCCACATATCAGTTGCCCATTGGGATATACCATGGCCATCGCGACCCGGAAAAACTGCAGCTGTCGCCCTGCAAATCAAACATGGCTGGAACATCTCCCCAAAAAAAATTGCTGGATCTCCCCATTTGAAATCTATGAATCTTCCATACAACAACCTCCATATCTATAGATATCTAACATTATTTCACCGTATAGAAATGGGGAAATTATAGGAAATTCACCATTTCCCAACCGGGATTTTCCGCCAGAAAAAACACTCCTCCTCGGCCGGGAAGTTGTCGGGCACACGTCGGCCGCAACTTTGGCATTGGACGTGCACGTATTCCACGATGGGATGTGCTTCCACCTGTCTCCCGCGTCGCGACAAGGAGGGTGATTCTTCCGACATCGGCTTTCCGAAAACCAAACCAATAGAAGTCGGGGGTTTGGAAATGGTGCCTGAATATCTTCGATAATGGAGGTATGTCATGTATATATATATAATATATATATATATTTGCAAACAAGCCGCGTTTGTAATCACTTTGAAATCTTCCACTTTTATTGGGAATGATTGGATATATGTATACGTCAGAAAATACTAGTATCATTAACTAATACAAATAAAATATGCATATAGTCGATTTTTAGTATGTGAATATATAAACCATATACATACTTGATAACCACACATACTTACATACACAACATACTGGTTACACATGCTACCCTCTGGTAATTTAACATAGCTATTGAAAATGGCCATAGAAATAGTGGATTTACCCATTAAAAATGGTGGATCTTTCCATAGCTATGTTAGTTTACCAGAGGGTATATGCTATGCATCCATTCTACAAGCAGTTGTTCCCCACCTGGCGCCACAGATCCACGGGATCGGCATCGCGACGAAAGGTCTTCACCGCGTCCAACCAAGTGGTGCCTACAGTTATGGCCATTTACCAGTTATAAGTGGTGATTTTTTATGGGATTATACATTCTATAAATGGGGTTTTGTTAGTACTTATAACTGGTAAATGGCCATAACTCGAATAATGATAGATGACTGTTCTATCATGTTCTATCTTCGGCGTTATGCAATTCGATTGATTATCTAGAATTCCCATATATTCCCATCTTTAGGGCTTATGCTGGATATATCTAGAAGTACCCTCTGGTAATTTAACATAGCTATTAAAAAAACATAGAAATAGTTGATTTACCTACTAAAGATGGTGATTTTCCACAGCTATGTTAGTTTACCAGAGGGTAGAATAAATGTCAGTATCTGTGTTATAATCAGGTTATCCCAATATTTTTCCCGTGGCTCAAGTCACGCAGCCACGCACCACCAATTTTTTGGGCTGATTCTGAAGCATAGCTGGTTGGTGGTTGACCTACCCCTCTGAAAAATGATGGAGTTCGTCAGTTGGGATGATGACATTCCCAATCTATGGAAAAAAAAATGTTCCAAACCACCAATCAGCACATCATTTTCCTTCGTGGTTTGTCCTACTCAGCAGCTTGGTGATCCCTAGCTGCAGCTAGGCTGCAGCTAGGTGATCCCTGGCCATTTTGAGTTGCATCCCCATATTTTGTTGATTGGATTCCATGGTTTTAGAGGCTTAAATATCATGTCCAACCGTCATTTTACATCATTGTTTCCGGCGCCATCACCTGTTTCCCAAAATCAGGAACGGTTTGGTCTCCTATTGAACATGGAAATCATCAGCTTTTCGTAACATACCCGTTATCGACATTTTTTATTTTTCACCATGTATCCCTCATTGTTGGCTTATGATTTTCGACAAGCCTCTAGCCCTAGTGCTGAACTGTTCCATAGCGAACTGTTAAACTACCGTGAGGGAAAACTATGGAAAACTAACATAGATGTGGAAGCCACGGCCCATAGAAAATAGATGATTTACCTAAAGAAATGCTGCTTTTCCACATCTATCTTTGTTTAGAATTGTTTAGAGGGAAACACTCTATCCCAAAACATATTCCCATGATATCCCTATGATATCCCTATGATATCCCTATGATATCTCTACAAACCCCTATGGTTGTTGGTTGAACCCGCCATTCTCCCCATTGTGGGACCACATCCATCGTCGCCTTCTGGCAGATGACACCGCGCCGCCAAGTCTTTGGGCAGCACGAAGCTCGCCTTGCGAGAAGGAACAACGAAACAACGGTCGTGGAGGCAATGAACTGTCTTAGAATCGACAAGAATATATATATATATATATACAGATAGTATGTCAATGTATATATCTCTCTATATATATAATGTATATAGTATATTAATATATATATAGTATATTATACTAATTATATGCTATAACATATAGTATATATGAATTATGCTTAAGAATAGTATCTCATACTAGTATGAATGATGTGTAAGAATAGTAACGACGGTCTTGGATTGATTCATGTTCCTTTTGGTCCGCGGATAAGAAACATTGGGTGGATAACCATGGATAACCTATACGTGGCTGATACGGGTGTATATGCATGTAATTTCACTGATTAACTTCGGGTGTCAACTATTATCAGTGAATATACATGAATATACTAGACTAGGCAAAATCAGGGATATTTGGTCAACCATCCCTTGTTCCAAATATGGTCCAAACGGGTCAAAAGTTTCCCGCGAAGGGAGAACTTGACTCCTGCCAGTTTTTTTCACTGTGGTACCTCAAGTTGCCATGCCCCCATGAACGCTACTGTATACCTAAACTGGTTGGTGGTTTTAACCATCTTGAAAAATATGAAAGTCAATGGGAAGGATTATCTCATATATTATGGGAACATGTTCCAAACAACCAACCAGTAAATGTTTCCCATCCATAATTCAAGAAGGAACATGTACAGTTCCTGCAGGTTCAATATCACATGTTGTTGCATCAACATCGCTCCTTTTGCCGGTCAAGATTGAGTTGCATATTGACACCTGTCTTGTCAGAGCAAAGTCCCAAGTTTTCACCATTTGGAACCCAAAACAATACTGGTTGATCTTCATTTTCCCCATGCACAATGGCCATGATAGTGAGGGCCCCTCTCCTATTTGGAGACGAATCCTGGTGAATACCTGCATATCATCTCTACGGTATGCTGAGTAATGCTGATTAAATCCAAGTTGATGCAGCTCTACTTTCAATTTTTGAAGAACCCCTTGCCAGTTTTCCCAATGCGTCCAGCTTTCCCAATGGATCTGGCTATTTTGCTCGTTCTTTTCCCCAGGAATTCTTTTACAATTTGTTCCCCATATGGACTGTTGGAAATGGGGTGCCCATGGTGCCCCCAAAGCTGCCATGATTTTAGCATATAAACTAGCCATCATTAATTTCCCATGAAAATTAAGACATTCATGGCAATTCATGGTAGCAATATGTAGCAATACTGGGTATAAACTTCCACACTTCCACACTCACCATGAAAAATCATATTCAATCCCCATATTTGCTGGGTAAACCACCAGTAAATCTCCATGTTATGCCATAGATATCCATACAGTTTGTCATGACATTTGGTCATGGCAGCTGTCGATCAAACTCCACCCAAACTGAGCGGCTCACCAGCACAGCTTCGGTTTTCTCCGGGGAATAGCCTCAACAGGCAACGGGATTGGACGTTAGCTGGAAAGAAGAAACTGGGTCCAGTTTGCTATCACCACACAAGAATGACCATTGAGAATTGTTTAATATCGAGATATATCGAGTATAAACAATTTCTATGTGGTAAACCCAAACACAAAAACCATGGGATTAACCAACCATGACTCCAATCGGGTTCCTTTATTTTACATCGTGCCGTTAAACCTCTATTGGGGATGGTTTTGATGCAGGTTTACCAGCAGGTTTACCATGTCGACTTCCATGACGGGAGCTCCAAAAAGTGTTGGTGATGTTTTTGTCGTTTTTTCCAGGTCCAGATACCTTCTTGTTGGAGGTGTTTTAAGGAAGTCTCGGATTATTGCTAATGCCATCCCCATTGATATACACCCTAGACCCCCTGGTCTTGTATTCATGACTTGGGGTCCTATATGCAAGGTATTTATATAATTTAATGATTGTCATCTTTTTCTCTCAACATCTCTCAACACAAGTGGATGTGGGTCAAAATGGAAGACCTAGGGGACCACAGATGTTAGTCTAGTTTAGTATTAACCATCCACAATTTTGGGGTCCCTAATTTTGACCCATACCCAAGTGTTTAAACACCGAAACTCCAATTTTTTTGGATGGTGAGTCCCTGGCCGATCGTCCATGGTGCGCCGCCAAGGTACTTTTCAGCAGTTCCCACTTTTTGCGCACCGACCACACCTCGCAGATGTTGAAATTGGGGGGAACGCACTGGAGGCGAATACGAACTCAGCACCTCCCATCCTGGTTTTAAGATCTTATAACCTTTAAGCCGGATGCAACTGAGCAATGCGCAATGGGAATGGAACCAGGCAAAATTACATGATCTTAAAGTATTCGATGCGCGTCCTGCCGCAAGAATTCCTGCACAAACAAATCAACTGTCGGATCAAACTGGGGCTGTTCACCCAAATCCCAACAGGAACTGTTGGTCACATGCTAAAATCATTCGTCCAAAAGTTAGCTTTGGTTCAGCCTCAGTATTTTACCCCAAACAGCGTGGGAAATGTCATTCATGTTCTGCACCAAACAAGCAACTATTTGTATACACGTATGAGAATCCCAAATTTGGAAGATGTTCCCACTTAATGTGTATAAGTTCTGGGTGTACTTGTGAGCGTTGTTTTTTCCCCAAAACCTTGAATGAGGGATATGGACCCAACCTTTACCCTACTGCCCTGTTTTCCTGTTCAAAATGTACATACAGCTACCCTACAGGACCATGTAGGAGGGTTCCCTGAAATTTGCAGAGAAACCAATCATATTAATGGTTATTTAACACATTTTAACGTAGCTATGTAACATCGCTATTTTCAATGGGTAAGTACAATACATCATTACTTAAATCATCTACCGATGGACCACCATTTCCCATAGGCGATGTTGAAAAACCAGAGGGCACCCCATCAACATCAACATCTGGGCCTTCTTTCGCAGGATCTCTTCTGCTTTGCTCCTGAAAGCACAAAAATGGAAACCTGGGTCCGATGAAAGCTTCAAAAGGTTCCGAAAAAGGGTTCAATCGCAGCTTGTTCTGGATTCAAGCAATTAAGAAACCAGGGCACCTCAAAATCCTTTGGTTGATAAGCAGTTTGCCGATCAGACTAGGCATTTCAGGGATATTTTCAGGGTATCCCCCCTTGCCGCGGCGGTTCGCATTGGGCGCAACTGCGTTTCCCACAGATAGGGAAGCCTTGGTAACCCCATGCATCAGCACGCGCGGATACGTCCAAAGTCACGGCATTTCCCAAATGTCCTGCTGGGACAATTTTTGCACGCCCTTTTCGGATATCACTGTGCCAGGGTGCAACCCACAAGCAATCCCTTCCCCTCAGTGCCATGGCCGGCAGCGTCCCGGTCACATTGCAGCTTTGCCACGCTCGTGTGATGCGGACATGTAGAATCCTTTAAAGAAACTCAATGGCAACCCCACAATGTGGTGTCCCTCAGTGATTTTTGCTGGTTTATTAACCTCATTGACTAGTTCGATATATCCACCACCAACCCTCGTTGCATCAGCCATGGACCAACTCAGCGCACTCTGCGGACCATATAGACAGACCGACCTATATTGATTCCTCATGATTTCTCCATTGCAAAGATTAAAGAAGAGAATCCAAGGGTTCCAACATCGGCGGTGATGGATCATGCACTTAAGATCTTAGGCTACCCCAAACCCTGGGTTTTCCATGGGCTTTCGCACTAATAACCAATAACTTGAATGGTAACTTGCGGTCCCCCATTTTAGCAACCCCCCACCCCACCCTCCCAGTCGGCAGCCCTTGACCCAACCCCGCTCCGTGCATCATCCATTGCGAAGTTGAAGAGGCCTGCGCCCAACAAAAGGCCCAGCGCTTGATGCAAACCGACAACGGTCCCACACGCGCAATCCATGGGATTGGACCGCCCATCGGGAAAACTTTGACTCTTCATCCATGAAAATTGGAATTTAACCCCCTTTGTTTACCCAGATGATATGGGTTTGGAGTCTGGACTGGGTCAACATCTACTTGCTGTCTACTTTGGCCTTGGAGGACCAGACTTCGGGCGCTCATTTTGAGAAGGGGGCCCAAAAGCTGGACCCATATGGCATGGTTGCCACAGCTAGTGGCTGCATTCCCAGATTGAGCTGTCGAATCTCCATCCTTGGTGGTAAAAAAAACTCTTGATCAGGACAAGGCCCATCACTTTAGAAAAAGATCATCAAGAGCAACATCAAAAGCTCCGAAAATCGCACCGATCATAAAATGACAGGGAACCAATTGAAAATACATCCGTGTGTATCTGTTGGCGTGCCACTCCTATCATTCCTGGGTGAACCATCCCAACTCTCCATATGGTCCATGTTGAATCCCTCTATGCCGAGAAGGCGGCGCATGGCCGCATGACACGTTCCAATTCTTCAAGTTGAACTGCCTGAAATTCAAGTTGTGGCTTCAACCCCATAATTCAGGAAAAATAAGAGGGTCACCAACATCCCATGTCTTTAGTTGGGACATGTTGGGACTATCATCCACCAAAATTCAACTAATTCTGGTTGGTGGTATACCTACCCCTCTGAAAAATATGAAAGTCAAATGGGATGATTATTACAGATATTATTACCAATATATGGAAAAATAACATATATTCCAAAACACCAACCAGAATTCCATTAAATCCCACAATCCCACTAAGGAGTAGAAAAAAAAATAACCCTCGCCGCATCTCACCTGGCTTCAGTGATAGGAGGGCTGCTAAAAACGCCCACCAACGCCGCAACCAACGCGCTCGAGCCATGCTGATGGCGTTTGCAAGTGCCCATTAAATGGGTTGAACTCATCTGTGATTCTATAAATCTTAAAATGGGGAGAATCTTTGTAACTGCTATTCACCTTTTGTTATTGTCATTTTTGACCACTAATTAATGACATTGTTAGCGACTATATTGGTGTATCTTCCTCAGCTCGTAGAAAAAGCCCGTATCTTTTAGAGGGTTTCTTCGACCGTTGGGATGGATTCTATCAATCAATTTTCGTAGGTAAATTCATGGAAATACCACACCCAATCCGGGTCAACACCTTTCGAGTGACTCGCCATATCACTCACATCAGAAACCTCATATTCACAGCCTGCAAAATAGGGCTCCGGTTTCCTAGGGGTACCCCCAAATCATCCATTAAATGGGACTTTCCACTATAAATAGTCTATAAATCATCCATTTTAAAATAATTAGTACCATTTATGAAACCCCCGCAAATGAACATCTTCGTATTGGATCGGTTCATTTCTTGGGGCCCGAGATTCGGACCTGGGACGGAAACGAAGATCTGGTCACAAAAAACAGCGCTCTTGGGAGGATCCTCTTGTGTAGCCCCAGTGCGTTCCACGTTCCAAGCAGAACTGGATTCAATGGTTCCTTCAGTGAATCCCTATGGCTTGTGACATGGGAAATCCACCGAAAATTTCTGCTTGGAACTGGGCTTCCCCGCAGAATCTTTGGAACCCACCGGCATGCGTGAACGCGGCACGCCGTGTGGCGACTCAGAACGTGGTACATAACAACGCAGGAAGTCCAGGCTCTACTCGAAGTATCAACCATATATTCATCAATAATGTACCAAAACCCAACAAAAACCGACCCTTTGGGGATGATTTGTAGCACCCATTGAATAAATTGTGTTTACCACATTAATCCCGTATAGCTTTTCAAGAACTATAACAACAAATCAACAGGCGCATTGTTTATTCACAGGAAGACGTCATTCAGTGTCTTCCACAACGAGGCATTTACCTCGATATATGGCCAGTTTCAATCGAGAAATGTATTTTCTAAAAACTCATACGATTTGCCCCTCGTTTCAACCCCATTTAGAGATACAAAGCTGGGTGAAATGCAGAGCGAACCGTGGTGATATCTATCAAAGAACCTCTCTCAAAGGCGGAGCGATGAAGATCCGGGGGAGCAATCCCTGCGGAAAGTCTGTTGCTGCAACTGGAACTTTTGCGAATGCTTTTACCACTGTTTTCACTGGGGTTCCTTCATGATCCTTCTGATTCTCTGGATAGCTGCTGCAAACATTTAAGTCATGTCAACTGAAGTATAAGATAGAAGTTTCAAAAACAAAGCATTGAAACCAGTAACAAGAGAGAGTATCTTCCCAATTGATATAAATTGCATGGCTCATGGCTCCCCAACTACCATTTCAAATTATCTTTAATCCCCCAAAGTGGGGAATACATGGTGTAGTCTTAGAGACCCTGCAACATCCTGCAACAACTAGATTGTATATCCACGTCTCTGCGTTGATGGCAATATTTCATAAACCACTCAATTACCCAAGGAAAAGAACGTTTACTCAGAACATGCTCGGACCCAAGCAGAACTTTCTTACTTTGCTCAATGGTTAAACAATGTGGGTATGGATCAATACCTATACATACCATTTTTAGTGGGATGAACATCCATTTACCAAAGTCAAGACTTCCTTCTCTGACAAAGTTGGTACGCCACAGACGTCAGTAACGTCGGGAAACATAGCGCGCGACAGCGGTTGAAAGAGGGGGGCAGGAGGGAACCCCTGCTTTGCGGGGTTGCCTAATCTTGAGACTTCATAACATTGTATAGGTGATTCATCATATAGTGATTATAATGTTATGATAACATTGTATAATTCATCATATAGTGATAAGTGATAACATCGTGTATAATCTTTATGTGCACATCGATATAAAGTGCAACTAGCTTTGATGGTGATACTATCGGATGTCACCTCACAAGACCGGTCTTTTTCGGTCTGAATCGAAATTTAGAGCCACCAATCATGTGGTGTTCCGACTGTACAAACCATGCAAGTTTAGATGTCAATGATTGGTGTCAAGATGGGGGATAGACCAAAAATGCAATAAACATGCATATATCACTGCCATGTCAATGGTGACATATTTTTTCAACAAATAAGGGATGATTGAAGGTAGCTCCGTAGGTGTTCTTTGATCTTTCACCGTGAGCCATGGCCAACATGACATCGCCCACTGGCCCCATGGAACATCCTGTAGATCATGTCCCCATGGGAAAACCACCAGAGTTTTTCTGGCTTTCTGTAGATACCTATGGATACTGTACCCCATCCCTGGGTTGATATGGCAAAATTAGGGGTATCCCAGAATCCTTTGAAAATCATCCATTTAATTTTCGGATTCTCCATGAAATAAACCATCCAGCTATTGGGGGTACCCCCATGATTATGGAAACCCCTGGTCGATTCTCATGGAGACCGAAAAAGAAACAACATGGTGATTTTTGACCATGGTGATCTTATTCACTCATGATTTCAATGATTTCAATGATTTCAATGTTTCCTAGGGTGAATATCTATCATTTACCTACTGGTTGTGAGCAAATGTTGGCTGCCCCTCTTTTTCATCAATCAGTGGAAAAAGGACATCCCATGATACGAGTTGCAAATGATGTATATTTATTGTTGTTCCATTTATATCCACTGTATGTATGTATAACTATATAAAGATATAAATTGTATGTGTATATATATATATATATTGTATGACACTTATCCATTCTTCATTGGTGAAATATACTTTTTTTGTTGCTGCTTCAATCTCATGCCTTCATCCCTGATGCTTGAGTCCCATAATATTTCACTCATCTGAATAGTTCGGCCATAAAAGGGGATGATTTCCCTAAACCATGATTCCAGTGTTCGGGAGAAAAGGGTTCGGTCGTTCTAATTTACCCAGACTTATGCACTTGTTATTACCCTCTGGTAAACTAACATAACTATGGAAAATCACCATTTTTCATGGGAAAACTCACTATAAATGACCATTTTCAATAGCTATGTTAAATTACCAGAGGGTAAGGGTCATACACATTACCGGAGCTGAGAGACTGAAAAGTCACCAGCTGCTACCTGCCCCCGCTGGCGCCAGTCAACATCCCGAAGAGGTGGAAGGACGGCTCTTTTCTTTCCCAAATTCATCCAATCACCAGAGCAACGGTCATTAAGGATTACGGACATTTACACCTGATGAATCAACATCAATTAACCATGAGATAAAATTGCAGTAATGATCATTGAACTGTAACGATATTCTCTTCTTTACCCGATCACGGGTTGTACACACTTCAACCACTACGGTGATCCCGAAAGTAGGAACCAACTTAAGAGATCCGTTGGATCTCATTAACAGAATCGACACTCAATTTACTGTTTGGATTCATAGATCTCTCTACCGACAGTGGGGCCACCTTTGGTGAAACTGACTGTAGGGTCTAGAGTTTCTAACCATGTCTTTTTCTCTCGGAAAGAGCCCCTCCAAAAGCATGGCGATCTGTGACACCATCGCCAAACAGGCAAGCTCAGCATTGGAAGTTTCGGCTGCAATGTGGCTGCTGTTGTGGCATCTCACCTCGTTGTGACTTCAAACAATTGGGCGTTTGGCAGTTGCACTGCCGCCCGCAAGGTACAGCTGCATTTCAACAGAGCGGCGAAAATGGCCAGCCCGTTTGGCAGCTGCTGAGGTACCCGTCTTTTTCAGCCCATCTAGGGCATTGCCGTGAAAAAATGACCAGTGTATCAAAATCAATCTGTGGCTCTGAAACAGCTCGGCTCAACGACAGACAAATAAACCTATGGGTCGTTTCGGAGGTCCCAAACGGTCCCAATGTGAAACGTTTGTTGCATTGTAGAGGGGTGCTTGAGCAGTGCTTGTCTCTCTAGTTTTTGACCTGGCAATGGAAACAAAAACACAATAGAAACATCATCCAAACAGGTTGGATTTAGGAGCCAGCCAGCCTTCGATACCAGCACATCCATCAGTTGAACCTCTTGGAATTGTGAGTGATAGACTAAAATTTGCCAATACCATGCTATATTTGCCTGAATTTTGGTGGCAAGATGATTTGTTCCTTTTACCGGGCCAACAAATATGAACTTAAATTGTGAGTTTCTGTTGTCCGTGAATAACGTTTAACACAGTTAACACAGCAACACAAAAGGAGTATATATGTGCATAGTAGATAATATGTATATACATGCATACATTACATTACATTACATTCCATTACATTCCATTACATTCCATTACATTCCATTACCATACATACATCCATCCATCCATCCATCCATGCATGCATGCATACATACATACATACATTACATTACATTACATTACATTACATTACATTACATTACATTACATTACATTACATTACATACATGCATACATGCATACATGCATACATGCATACATGCATACATGCATGCATACATGCATACATGCATACATGCATACATGCATACATGCATGCATACATGCATACATGCATACATGCATACATGCATACATGCATACATGCATGCATACATGCATACATGCATACATGCATACATGCATACATGCATGCATGCATGCATGCATGCATGCATGCATGCATACATACATACATACATACACACACATACATACATACATACATACATACCAGTAGTACCGCACAAGGCGGTGGCGGAGGTTTCAAAAATAGGAAACCTATAGGAGAGCCTTGCTGTCGTGAATCACGTATGGCAGAGCGAATCCACTGATGGACCGAAAGGTGGTTGGAGTTGTGTTTTTTGAAGTGGCTGCAACGGTTGCAGTGGTCACCTCTTCCTCAACTGCTTGATGAAGTGTGGTGTGGTTTAGCGCAGTTGTAGTTGTAGTTGTAGTGTAGAGTAGTGGATTTGTAGTTGTAGTGTAATGTAATTAGTATGTGTGTTGTTGCAGTTGCAGTTGTAG